TATGGGGGAGTAGAACATAAATATAATTTAGAGATGATAAAAGAACAATATAGAATTACCAAATGTAAAAGAGCTTATTTGTGTGAAAATAGAGCTACCCTACAACCTAGCAATTGCACTACTGGGTATTTACTCCAAAGTTACAAATGTAGTGATCCGAAGGGGCATGTGCACACCAAAGTTTATAGCAGAATGTCCACAATAGCCAAACTATGGAAAGAGCCTAGATGTCCATCAACAGATGAATGGATAAAGAAGATGTGGTGTATACATACAATAGAATATTATGCAGCCATCAAAACAATGAAATCTTGCCATTTGCAACGATGTGGATGGAACTAGAAGGTATTATGCTAAGTGAAATGAAGAAAGACAATTATATGATCTCACTGATATGAGGACTTTGAGAAATGAGACAGAGGAGCATAGGGGAAGGGAGGAAAAAAATGAAGAAAAATGAAACCAGAGAGGGAGACAAACCATAAGAGACCTTAATTTCAGAAAACAAACTGAGGGTTGCTGGAGTGGAGGGGGGGTGGGAGGGATGGGGTGGCTGGGTGGTGGACATTGGGGAGGGTATGTGCTATGGTGAGCGCTGTGAATTGTAAGACTGATGAATCACAGACCTGTACCTCTGAAACAAACATTATATGTTAATTTTAAAAAATTTAAAAAAGAGCTCATTTGTGTAATTTTATTAGTGGATGATGATGGCCATTGTTGTGTAGAATCCGTTGGATACACTATAAAAACGATTTAACAGCTTTATCTTCAAATGTCATTATTTACATTTTGCCAGAGTTTACATTTATTGCAGCTATTTAAATTTATGATGAAAACTTTTATTTTTGGAGAGAGAAAGAGCGCGCATGCGCGCGCACACACACATACACACACACATACACACGCACACGATTGGGTATGAGTGGGGGTTGGGGGGAGAAGAGGGAGAGGGAGAGAGAGAATCCCAAGCAGGCTCCACAGCCAGCGGGGCTCCAACTCACAACCCTGAGGTCATGACCTGAGCTGAAATCAAGAGTTGGAGGCTTAACCGACTGAGCCACCCAGGTGCCCCTATGATGAAAACTTTTAGTTATCAACTTAAAAATATGAGGGGATAAACATTTTTTCAAAATTCTCTCTCCTTTGGGCTGTCATTGCCACGTCCTCTCCGGTTTTCTTGTCTTCATCTCTCTGGGTTCATCCAGCTCCATCCTGCTGCAGTTTGTCCAAAAGCCTCACAGAAACTCCTGCCAACCAAACTTTGTGGCGAAGAGCACAGATTTAGAATCAGGCCGGTTGAGTGCCAGTCACAGTTGCACCACATATTAGCAAGTTACTTAACCCCTCTGTGCATCAGTTTCTCATCAGTAAAATGAGAATAATAGTACATACCCCCTCCTATTGTGAGGAACAAATGAGAAAAATCATGTAAAGCTTTTAGCAGTGTATCTGGCCCTATAAAGACTAGCTACTAGCTCCCCGTACTTGGGAGAACCGCATCATAGTGTTGATCTGTCACCATGTGTCTGAAGAGATAAGGGAACAGGAAGCTGGTAAGAGGTTTCTCAAGTGAAGACTGGAATTCACTCATTCATTCGATGAATATTGAATATCTGCTAAGTTGCAGGCATTATTCTGGGTGCCTGGGATATAGCAGTGAACTAGACAGTGAACTTTCTCTCCTGAAGCTTACATTCTTAGTGGCCTGGGGTAGGTGGAGGGGAAGATGGATAATATGCAAATACATAACAGTAAAAGTGGAGGAGGTGATAGATGCTGTCAGAAAAGGCAGGGAAAGGGGATACAGCATGTTGGCATGAGGGCACCTTCTTTATATCAAATAGTCAAAGAAGGTGCAAAATGGAGATAAGGCTTGAGAGCTACTTTATCCTTCAGGTTAGATGGGGTGGCTCAGTCCGTTGGGCATCCAACTCTTGGTTGCAGCTTGGGGTCATGGTATTGAGCCCCATGTTGGGCTCCAGGCTCAGTGAGGAGTCTGCTTGGGATTCTCTCTCTCCCTCTGCCCTTCCCCCTTCTCTCGCTCTCTCGCTCACTCTCTCAAATAAATAAATAAAATCTTAAAAAAAAAGGAGTTTAAAATAGTCAAGGAAGACCTCTCAGATTGACATTTGAGCATAAACCTAAAGAAAGTAAGAGAAGAAGCCACATGGGTATCTGGGGAAAGTGTGCCACAGTGAATAGCAAGTGCAAAGGCCCTAAGACCAGACAATGGTTAGCGTATTTGAGGAATAAGAGGGTGGGGAAAGAGGAGAGTAAGAAGGAGGGGGAGGGCAGATCATGTCAACATGCACAGTCCTTTAGTTAAGAACTTGACTTTTACTCCGAGTGAAATGAGAAGCCATTGGAAGGTTTTGAGCAGAGAACTAACATCTCTTTGCTCACTGTGTGGAGAATAAATTGAACAGGGACACAGATGGAAGCAGGGAGTCCAGTTAGGGGCCATTTTGAGAATCCAGGTGAGAAATGATGGGGGCTTAGACTAGGGTGGTATCAGCAGAGGGAAGATAAAGTATGGAAAGTGAATCATTTGTTCACTGCAGAAAGCTAGTGTTTGTAAATAGAGGGGCGGGTGTGTGTGAAGACCGAAATGGGAGCCTCAAAACAGGTTATTGTCAGGGTTTTGCCAAGGGAGACAGCCTGAATTTGGAGGTTAAGGATTCTCCTCTCTAGAGCGGTGGACGCTGGTGTAGGATAATTCATCTACCCCATCTAACCTGAAGGATAAAGTAGCTCTCAAGCCCTTTCTCCCTTTTGCCTTGATTCTCTGCTTAGCACGCATCCAAGTTTCCTTAACTGATGGCCTGGATGTAAGTGCTCTGGTCTCAAGAATGACCAACTCCCCACACTGAGAATGAATACTTGGTGTCAATCTCTTGTGATTGTGGTGTGAATCACACACCCTTTCTGGGGAGCTGAGAGCCAGAAACAAGGTGGCTCCCTCAGTTTCTACCACACTGTGTATCCTCATAGAAGCAGCCAGCCTGTTTTATCTTCTACATCTAGCTCATTCTATTCTATCTCCCACAGAGACTGCCATATCTATGTTACTCTCCTGTCTGAAAACCTACAATGATCCATTTCCAACAACATGGTATGACCTTTAAGTGCCTTCATTACCTGACATCAGTCTATTCTTCTAGGCCCTTCTTCCGACACTTCCCTTTGAAATACCCCAGAGATTGGGCGCCTGGGTGGCTCAGTTGGTTAAGCGACTGCCTTCGGCTCAGGTCATGATCCTGGGACTCTGGAGTCCCAGGATCGAGTCCCACATTGGGCTCCCTGCTCAGCGGGGAGTCTGCTTCTCCCTCTGACCCTCTTCCCTCTCGTGCTCTCTATCTCTCATTCTCTCTCTCTCAAATAAATAAATAAAATCTTAAAAAAAAAATACCCCAGAGACATAACTAAGATAAGATGACTGGAACTATACAGGAAGACACTGAAATGTAGACAGTGCAAAAAATTGAGATATTGACTTTAATTTTTCCAAATTTCAATTAAATTTTTAAAAAGTAATCTCTACACCCAACATTGGGTTCGAACTCATAACCCCGAGATCAAGAATCACATGTGCCACCGACTGAACCAGCCAGTTGCCCTGAGAAATTGACTTTAAAAGATTGCATGGCACACCTTCAGCAGCAGAGTTAACAAACTACTCACCTACACTGTGAGATAATGCACATTGTTGGTAACTTCCATCTGTTCTGTTCACCACATCATGAATTAAAGCTGATCTGAGGATGAGATTAGTGTGTCTTACCCTGAAGCCAAAATTCTTCATTGTAGCTTAGGAAATAGCCAGTGCTTCAGCCACCCTGAAATTCTCCTGCTTTCCAGCCAAGCCTCGCTCTTTTTTATATGGCTCCAAGGTAATTTGTGAAGCATGAATACCTTCCATTTCATTGTCTGCCCGTGTAACCCTTTATGGGACTACTCAGTGTCACTTCCTTAGCACAGCCTTTGCTGGACCTACCCTGTATTCACTGACCCGTTTTTACACTGAGTACACTATATTATACAGAGGTTGCATTTTAATGCCGCACACTGGACAAAAATTATGGTCAAAATTACCCTCATAATCCCTTAGGAAGATGCCACTAAGGAGATTGTTATATTGTCTCCTGTTGAATAGCACAGCCAGGTTTTTCTTCAGCATGGCAATAAATCACTGTGTCTTTCTTTGCACAAATGAAATATTTCATTTGGGTGTCAGATACAAAGTATTTCAATGGCTGTATAATCACATTTATTGTGGCAAAAATGCACACACTATAAGGCTTGTGGAATCTGAGACCCACCCACTGAGGGGATGATCTGCTGCCATCCCTCCCACCCCCGTCAGAGTATACACTCATCAAGTGAAATGACAGGTAGGTGCCTCCTTCCCTCCCTGCCAAGCTGGGATTCACAAAGGAGAATTCAGCTAAATTCAAGATGATGTGATCCCACTGTATTATATATAACTCCTTGTTCTGAAATTACCAGCCCAACCAGCCAAAATGGGTGCTCCTGAAACACAAAGGACAGATTCCCAAGGATTATCATAATGCTTAGCCCAGAGTAAGTATCAATAAAAGTTGGATAAAAGTAAAGAGTCCTTTATGTCCACCCCATCCTTGTCCATCTCTGGGTAATTAATGCAGACAGACCTTTAGGCTGAAGGCCAGCACAAGAGCCAGCCTACCTCTATAGGACAGTCCACAGCACTGCCCTCAGCAGCACTTTTTTGCTGTTTTTATTCTATCTAATCCAACCTCTTCAGCATGGAGCTCAAGGCCATATCCCTGACCCACTTTCCCTTCTTTTCCCATGGATTCCAGTTTGGCTTTCCTTTTCTATATGGCTGTTTATGGCCTCCAGCCTACCCAGTGGCATCATCATCTCCGAGACATTTTTGACTACTAGTACACCCCACATTATCCCACACACGTAAGTAGAAGCCGGGCCCTACCGAATAGGGAGACAGTCCTTGCAGGGTCATTTCGATATAGTTCTCTATCTTTATTGATACACCACCACACACACAAGGGAAAGACAGTGCTTTCCTGGAAAAGATTGGAGTCCATCACATTTCAGACGTGGACGTGAACCCTGATGTGGGCAAGGGGCTCTGGCAGTCAGAGCAGCTGCAGTAAGGCTCTGAGGAGCAATCCCTCTTCATGGCAGGTTTGTGGGAAATGATCATCCCCTCCAGGTCCTTCACTTTGTTTTCCACTGCCTGAAGTTTTTTCAAAATTCTCTCTTGCAGACCCAAGGACAGAAAGAGATTATTGTCTTGAATTGGGAGATGATTCCCTTCTGGGCTGACCAGCAAAGTCTGAAAAAAATCTGAGCCCTTCTTGTAAAGTTTGTAGAGGGTGATTACAAACAACAATATTTTCTAAAATAAAACAACAGAAGTTGAACGTTACTTGTTTATTCATGGGAATGCCTCGGATTCAAAGCAAAAACCTAGTAGTAACAATAATCCCTCATTCCTATACCAGGCCTTCTGTTCAGCAAAACATCTTCACATCTATTATTTTGTCTTTTGATCTTTATCACAAAATAGAGTGACAGGCAGGTCAGGGATTGTTATTTGCATTTAATTAATAAAGATAATAACACACACCATTTGCTAAAAATTTGCCACACGCAGGGCTCTGTGCTAGGCGGTCGTTTTGCCTACGAATGACCTATTTATGTAGAAAAAGCCCAGAACTGGGTAGCCATTTAAATACCTTCCTGTTTGGACCCTAACATTGTCCGAGGTCATATATTTGGAAATGACAGAGCCAGGACTGAAATCCAGGAATTCTGACTTCCATGTAAGTTCCCTCAGGACACTGTGGTCTGAAATACTCTATTTCCTGGTCATGGGGGAAAACATTTTTTTTTTAAAACGACCTAGGACAGATTCCTGTCAGGAGAAAAATTAAAAACCAATCATCTTTTCTCCTTATTATGATAACTGGCACTGTTTATTGAGTATTCATTCATTGTGTGCTGAGCTTTATACACACACAGTATCTCCTTTAACCCTCATGACCACCCTAAGGGAGGGACTGTTGACAAACCCATCTTACAGATAAGGAAAGTGGGGTTTTGGAGGCTGGTTGCTCTCAGTTCACACAGCAAGTGATGGGACCAAGGTTTGTACCCCAGCAGTCCAACTCCAGAGCTCATGCTATTAATCACTTGCTATACTACCTCTTTCTTGGCTGAGGTGTCTGGAGGGCTGCAAATTCATCTAATTGAGCTGAACATTAACCAAACAAGAGCAGACCCAGAATTACAGATAATAGTTCTGTTTTGTTTTCTTTTTACCTTATATTCTTTGATTAGCTAATTGAAATGTGGGTGTATACCCACATATCCCTGTTGGGGATTTAGGTTAGCTGGATTATAGTAAATGAGATTTTGGAGAAGATTTGAATTTGGAATCCTAAAAATTAGGTTCAAATCTCAGATTTGCCAGTTTTTACAATCTATGTCAACTTGGTTCAGTGATAACCAAGTTCCCTCACCCACAAGATGGATATGATACTCTCTGCCTTGCCTACCATGCAGGGTTTTGAAAGGTTAAGAGAATGCATGTGACCATGATTCCTTGACAGCAGTGATATATGAAAAGTGAATGCTACAAAATGATCCATGCAGGGTTTTGAAAGGTTAAGAGAATGCATGTGACCATGATTCCTTGACAGTAGTGATATATGAAGTGAATGCTACAAAATGATCCAGTAATAACTTCTCTCAGCGTTTACCAAGTAAACTTTAAGAAAGTCCTTTTAAAAATCCTACCCCCTTAGATTTCCACTGAACCTCAATGCACCTGTTCCCTTGTCATATGAAAATAACCTCTATCCATTTCATGGAATTGTTGGGATTCTAAAAGCATTTTGACTAATATTGTAAATATAGCTATTATTGCTGGTGATTAAACTATTAAGTTATTATTGGTGATTAGAAGTATGTAAAATCCTAAATGTTTCTTACAATCCCAACCAATTATACTCCTATTCCCAAAAAGAACCCCTGTAAATTTATTGAGCCTGATATTGTTAAAACAAAGAAATAATGAAAATATTGTGATGCCTAAATGAATATACATGCCTTGTGATCGGTTACAGAACAATGTCACAGTAAGAACAGAAAGGCCAAACCCAAGATCCCAATTATATCTGTAATGCCTATTCTTTTAAAAGGTGGCCCTCATGGTGTCTGGCACATAGTAGAAAATCAAAGATGAATATGTGATCATGTAAATTTGGGGTTAGGCTGCCTTCTCAGTTTATGAACTTGTTTGATCTATTTTATTCTAGAACTAGTCGAAGACCACTGTGAGAAAGAGCATTTTATGCTCAAAACCTAATTGGCAAAAGTTTTTAAGGTTAACCTAGTTTCAACCAGTTTCAGAGACTAGGGTTCATCTTTGCTCATCTGCATGGTTTTAAAACTGGGTAGCACAATGCAGGAGAGAGCTAACCAAATTTCAATTTAGAACTATTTAAATTCCTCTGTAACAAAAGAGTATAACCTGAATTGACTGAACACTTCGTTTCCATAAGGCATATACTCCTATTCCCAACAAAAGCAAAAAGGAAATCCCCAGGATAACTTGCACAGTTGGAGCAAGATTATCTAGTAGACCCAAATTTGTTTGCTGAGGTGGACTAGTCTCTCCCAGAAGACTTGCTTGTAGCCAATTCCATATCGAGCTCAAAGAAAGATAATCTACGATGTTGTCCCAGACAGATGAAGATGAAGGAAAAGATGTTGACATTTTAATAAGACAGCAGCTCCAGGAACTACATGTATAGAAGCTTCAGGAACCTAGATATGAGTTAGGGAGTGGCCTGGAGCCCAGGTGTTCTAGAGCCACTGTGAACTGTGCATTGTGATGTCACCGTTCTAAAGGTCAGCTTGCTTCCCACTCACCCAGTGAATTTTCTCAATCAAAACCAACAAGACATGGCCTGGATTTTCAGTTCAGTCATATTGCTTTCCTTGATCTTTGGCAAGTTCTAGCTGTAGCACAGCACTGTCCAATAGAACTTTCTGCAATGATGGAAATATTCTCTATCTGCTCTGTCCAATATGGTAGCCACTAGTCACTTGGAATGTGAATAGTGTGGCCAAGGAATTGAATTTTACATTTAATTTTAATTACATTTAAGTAGCCAATGTGGCTAGTGGTTATCTTCTTGGAGAGTGTAGATATAGAACATTTCCAATGTTGGGACAGCATGGAAGGGACAGCATGGAAGGGACAGCAATTATTGTCACATGGCAAATGAGAAAACAGATTAAGTGGAGATTTGAGGAGAGAATTTAAAGAAAGCTTTCCTAAAGAATGAATAGTTTACTTGGTAAATATGGAGGGAGGTTATTACTGGATTATTTTGTAGCATTCCCTTTTTTTACACATCACTATTGTTTAGAGATTGTGATCTTTGAGAAGACTAAACATATTTGAGCCTCACTTTGCTCATCTCGTTACAGATGGGGATTCCACATCCTTTGCAAGGTTTATATCAGAAACAGACGGTATAATTTTCTAAACACTTTGTGAACTGTAGTGTGCTGTATAATAACTTATATGGCATGTTATCAAATCAATTATTTACTGACTAGTACCTATATACATTCAGCAAGGAGGTATGAAAATACGGTATCTATGGTCTGTACCCAAAAAACTTGGAAGAGCTCACTCACGTGTATATTCTAAACTGAGATCAACTGTGAAGACAGCAAGAATCCAAAAGAGGGTTTGCACCAATAGGAGGGGAGAGGCAAAAAGAGGAGAAAAGGTTATGACAATTTTTAGAAAAATACTGTCTGATGCTATTCCAATTTGTTCATTCTGGTTGAAAGAACAGTAACAGGGAGGCTTGGAATAGGAGGAACGGTTGTTTTGTTCTTGTAGGAAGTGGTATGACAAGTTGCTTGGGGTGTCAGAGACATCCAGAAAAAGGGAGTCTAGAGTGCTGTTGGAAATGCAGTACTTATGTCAGGGTGAAATGGCCTACTGATATATGAGTGACTGCTATTGATGTTAAACCCACAGTCTGCTAGTGAGTGACAACAGTCAGAATCCTTTCTAGCAAGGAATAAAGATGACTCAGATAAGACTCTGGACTTGGCTATTATAGGTTAAACATAGGTCAGGAACCATTAAAGAATGGTAACCAGAAACTTTTTGGAGAAAGATGGGGCTGTGACAACTAAATCATTACTTGAGACTCTCAATACTAGATCTCCTTGTTACATGGCACCTTACACTTTACTTTCAAAGCACTTAACCCAGTTATAGTTATTTGTGCAATTTTTGGTTTAACATCTGTCTTCCCTGACTGTTGTAAACTTAAGGAAGAGAGGGACCATGTCCCTTTAATTGGCTACTGTATCCCTAGGGCTTGGCACATAGCGGGCATTAAATATTAGGTGAATGCAAAGTCCCCTGGAAGAATTCTAAATATCTTTATGGCCTAAACTGTTCATCCATCAAGTGCCTATTACCCTATTTGTGTACTTGTTTGGATAGAATCTTTACAGAATAGCTGTTAAGAGCATAGGCCTTTGGGAGTACAATGGATCTGGGTTAAAATTTTTGACTTTCCTACTAACTTTGTTACCTTGAGCAAATTTACTTAACCTGAGCCCTAATATCTTCATTAGTGAAGTGGGAGTAATTCCTACCTTGTAGGCCTGTAATGAGAATTTGGTAATTTGTATAAAAGAACAAGCTACCCGTATAGATAAGTGCAACTATTATTTGTAGTGACATCCATGACCAAATACAAGGTATTATCAATCTCAATTATGTAAGGTGCCTTAAAAGAATCTAGTCCAAAAAGCCCATTTATAGTTTGACTCCCTTCTCAGATACCTGAAAACCTCCAAAGAATTATCACTATGCAAGGCATCTCAGCCCACTTTTAGACAGAGTCATCTATCCATCTATCCAGACAGCCAGCCAGCAGTCACTTCCACCCAGTAGTCTTCCACGTCAGACTGTATTAAGACTCTGGCATACATACTCTTAACTTATGACTCCTGCAATGCTTACTTTCATGGGTTCAGAAGGTTCTTCATTGCCTTTCAGACAAAATCCAAAATCTAGAGGCTGGTTACATGGCACTAAACTACCTGGTTGCTGTTTACCTACGCAGACTTCTCTCCTTTCCCTTTCTCATTTTGACTCTCAGCACTAGCTATACCAGACTTGTCAATGTCATGAATACACCACAAAGCCTTTGCACACAATAGGATTATCCTAATTCCTACTGGTTCTTCAGGTTTCAGTTCAAACATCGCTTCCTCAAGGAAGCTTTTCCTGGACTTTTTTGAGGTCCCATCACCGCCATAGCTTCTTTAGTAGCACTTCATTTGTAGTGTTTTGTTTATTGTCTATCTTTACTAGACTCTAACCTCCACAATGCAGGAAAACCTACTGTGTCATGTTCAACACCTGGGAGCTAGCAGATGGTATGCGCTTAGTGAATATTTGGCTATCTTTCCTGTGCTTCCAGTCTTCTCTATTTTCCAGGCTAAACCTGTCAAATACAGGTTGACAGGCTTTTAAATCTCCTATCCTGGTTACCTTTCTCAAAGTGGTTCAGACCTCCAAATGCAGTCTGTCACAGAATCTATTCCTGCAGGTATAGACCAAGCAGGTTAGATTAGAGTGGGGCACTCCTTCCAGACTCAGCTCTAGCTAGGAGGAGGCTTTGCCCCCGAGTTAGGAATATAAAGCCAGGCAGCATCACAGTCTATTGTGGGGGTGGAAAGTGGGGAGAAGGGACTGAGCAACTTTTCTGATTTTTACAAGTTTCTCTCAGAAAGAAAAATGGACTCACAGAAACAGTATGAAACAGTTTTCCTTTCTTTCCTCAAATGAGAAAATGTCAATAATAGATGTGTGATTGGAATTGGATCTGCATGACCTGGCTTTTACTTATACTTCAAACTTTATTTCCCATTATTCACTTCCACAAACAATATACTCAATTACAGAACTATCGTTTTTTGGTACTTATTTAAATGCCACTTGCAACTTTCCAATGTTCTTCCTTCACATTAAGTTCCCTTCTCTGATATCAGAAGAAATTGGGAGACTAGGCTCCACGTATTCCAGTTCTGTTTTTTGTTTTTTTTAAAACCTGAGCGGTTGCTTTATTTTTTTTCTCAAAGATTTTTTTTAATTAATTTATTTGACAGAGAGAGACACAGCGAGAGTAGGAACACAAGAAGGGGGAGTGGGAGAGGGAGAAGCAGGCTTCCCGCAGAGCAGGGAGCCCGATGTGGGACTCAATCCCAGGACCCCGGGATCATGACCTGAGCCAAAGGCAGACGCTTAACGACTGAGCCACCCAGGTGCCTGTTTTTTGTTGTTAATACTTGACAGAGGGAGACACAGCAAGGGGGAACACAAGCAGGGGGAGTGGGAGAGGGAGAAGGAGGCTCCCCGCTGAGCAGGGAGCCCGATGCGGGGCTCGATCCCAGGACTCTGGGACCATGATCTGAACTGAAGGCAGACGCTTAACGACTGAGCCACCCAGGCGCCCCCTATTCCCAGCTTTTATCAGCAAGACAGAACACTTTACCCTTAAGTTTTTATCTGTCAAATGAGGGTAAGAGCACCTACTTCATGAAGTTATGAAAATTCAACAAGATAATTTTATGTAAAGTGCTTTTAAAAAAGTGTAATTATCCTGAATTCTCACGGTACTTTCCACTTTGTTCGTCATTCCTTCACAGATTTTTCTGTGCCTATGAATCATCTAGAGATTTTACTAAAATGCAGATTTGGGGCGAGAAGGTCTGGAGTGGGGCCTGGCCTGACACTCATTTCTAACAAGCTCCGAGGTGATGCCCATGCTGCTGGTCCACTGCCAAACTTTGATTAATAATGTTTAAGCTACCCCAGCCCTCACATGAAAGCTCCACATCGGCAGATGCCTTGATAAATTTACTTTGGTATTTTTATCTCCCAAAGCATCTGAAACGGTCTCTAAATATGGGTGCACTTAAATATTTGGTTAATGACCAATTCCATCCTCCAGTGACTATGTTCTTGGCAATGCAGGTCAGAAGTAGGCAACCTGGGACAAAGAAGAGAGGATAGATTTGAGATGGAACCTCTAGGAATGCTAATCAAAAACTTTCTTCTCCATCATTCCCCACCCTCTCTCTTTCACAGGTGTTCATGAACATGGGGAAACCCTGAAACAAGAGAATTCTGGGCAAAATAATAGAATGAAAGTGTCTGGCACACCCAACTTATACCCACCATTTAGGGGGCATTCTTGAATTTAAAAAGGCAGGGGTGTGCTTTAGACTTACGGTAAGGAGGTGGCAGAATGAAATTGCTTAAGAGCCAAAGAAACAAGGTTTAAGAGTCAGAGAAAAGATCTTAAAATTCTAACCATAGGCATAAGAAAGGAATGTTAGGAGTGTCTGAATCACTTCATTGCTAGCTGGCATAAGAAAGGCATGTTAGGAGTGTCTGAATCACTTCATTGCTAGCTAATGAAAGTGACTTGAGAACCTCACAAGGAACAGAAAATAAAGCTGCTGTATTTGTAAGAACACATTGCTTTCCTTGTCAACAGACATACATGGCTCACAGTCCACTGAGGCTCAACACATCCAAAGTCCAAGCTCATCTTGGCTTTCCATTCTCTTCCCCCAAATTCCTTTCTTCCCTTTGTATTCCCTCCCCAATTGGATGCATCACTACTGAATTTTTCAGTTTTCCTCAAAGTATTTTTTCACCCTCCAAAGCCTAACAACCTTCTCTTTAAATTTTTCAATTTCATGTCCTCTTCCTAGTGCTGCAACCATCAGTACTCATCACATTTGCCTCAGATACTTCAACAGTCTTAGTATCTGTTTCCATTCTCAGCTCCTCAAATCATACTCAAGTGATCTACAATTTGTTAATTTAACATTATTACAATTAACATCATGTTATTTTGTTAAAATC